GCCTCAAGGCTAGTGGTAGCCCGTGGACACACACCTGCATGGAGGCCCGAGTGGGCACAACAGCACCCAACTGCATGGAGCGCAGTTCCAGCCCCATGTCCTATGGCTTGATGACCTTGGGTGTCCTCAGGTGTCCTTGGGAACATCTCCTGTGGCCCTGAGCTTCGTTCAGTCTCCCCATCTGTAATGAGGTCCTTGGGTAACCCCTTATGGTGACTGTGGCAATGCCATGCGGGCTCCCATGGCTCTACTCTGCACCCCAAGATCTCAACCCTGTCTGCATCCAGGCCTTTCCACCATCCCCCGGCTTTCACAGAGCCTTGGGATGACAGGAGCTCATTTAACCAGACTCAGAATGACCCATTTCAGACTCCCCTGAACCTGGCCCTTTCTTCTTTTTTGCAAGCAAGGCTGGATCTGCAGAACACCAGCAATTGTAACTGCCAGTGTTGGGGGTGCATTCTTGTTGTCAAGGCTACCAGACAGGCACAGAGGCATCTCAGTGCTGAGTATCCCCTCCACCCTTTGAATCAAATGCTGCAAGGGCAGTGTTTGGTGACAACAGACCTTAAAACAGCCTCACCAGGCCCTGGGGAGGGACCAAGCAGAAGCCCTTCTGTAGCCGATTTCCAGCCAGCTCCAGATGCTACTTTCTAAACAGCCACCATTCAAGGGCACCACATATTCATCTTCCCTCTGATGTTTTCAGGTTGGAACTGAAAACCACAGGTGCCCAGAAATAGTAAAAGAGCAAGAATTAGCTCGGGGAAGGGCAGTGGGGGGCTCTGCCAGTCACTCCTGCCACTCCCACTGAACCTACCATCCAACTCATACTGGGACCCACTACCTTTCCCCACCTGAAACACAAAGATGCTGGGGGCAGAAGACCTCAGCCTCATGGAGTCCAGTCTTGCGTGGCGTAAGGCCCGGAAAGGGGAAGTGAGCTTTGCATGGTCACACAAGCAAGGAAGTGGCAGGGCTGACACAGGGTTCTCTGCTCTTTGGGGTAATATTCCACCCTCAGCTGCCATGTATACCCCTCTCTGGAAGTACACCTCTCCAGGCACCAGCCACCAGTCTGAAGCCTTTGCTCTCTCAGCCCTACCATATCCAGTCACACAATGCCCAGGGGTTGTCTTCTCCTAAATGTCTCTTAAATCCATGCTCCCCCTTCTATCCTCATGCTTCCTCTGGCACTGACAGCTGATCAAGCCATGCCACTCCCCACCTCCTTGCCCCTGCAGCCTTTCCAGCAGGACTGACTGGTGCTTCTGGGAAAAACAAAAACAAAAAAACATATCCAGGTCCAGATGCCCTCCAGGGTCTGGCCGCTGTCCCCATTCAGCTGCCTGGCCTCATCTTCCCTCACTGTCTACGCTCAGTCCCAGTATTGGCCAGGAGGATTTCTGCGATGAGGTGTTCCGTGCCTCTATGCCCAATGAGGAATCACCAGCCAGGAGAGCAGCGGACACTCAAGATGTAGCTGTGAGACCAAGGAACTAAATTGTATATTCCTTTCATTTTCCTTCAACTTTAATAGCCACATGATGTGGCTTATCGTGCTGCAGCCTCTTGTGGAGTGTATAGGCCCACCTAGAGCAGTGGTGCCTCACACTCATCCTCAGGCCTCAGCTGAAGTCATCTGAGACTGCCCAACCCCCCCCCCCACCAGTCAGTGCCAGAGGAAGCATGAGGATGGAAGGGGGAGCATGGATTTAAGAGACATTTAGGAGAAGACGACCCCTGGGTAGTAGCCAGTCCTATCAGAGCCAACCCAGGCAGCTACTATGGCCCATGTCCTTCCACAGTGTACCTATCCCCTCCCTTCTGAACACCTCTGTGGATCCCCAACTGAGAACCAGCCCCCAGTCCTGGGCCACCCTGAGCAGTAGGGGGGCAATAAGATGACAGTTTAGGGAGCGCCAGGAGCAGGAACTTCCCAAGCCTGGCGATTAGAGTAGGCAGCCAGGCTGTGAGTGTTGGTGGGATGGCTGAATAAAACTATTAAATGTTCAATGTCACCCTCGTACCCATCAGTGACACTTGCCAGGACCCTCAAGCTCCGCCCCATCTACTGTCCCTTTGCTGGACCCGCTCTCTTACATCTTTCAAGAGTTCAGAGGGAAAAGACTACCACCCAATTAATTCACAGTATTCCACTGACAACTTAACAAAACTATTATGAACCTAGAGAAGAAAGATTTTCTTAAAGAGAACTATTAATCACAGATTTTAATTTTTTAATGTTATGGTCATAAACCACAGCTGTTTTCATATTCTGACCACAGGCTTTGGAGGACAGGAAAGGCATGTACAAGCAACTCAATCTCGGCCCAGCTCCCCAAGGTCACCAGGGGAGTGGAGGTTGCCACTTGCTGGACCACAATCAATGCCAGACTCAAGGCTTGACTGGTAGAGGAGGACCCAGTCTCAGGAAATGCCTGGACCTGACCCAGGAGAGGACTGGCCATTTGTGAGCCCCCATCTGCACCACTTGGGACCTCTGAGCCACATGTTCACAGTAATCCAGCCTCAGCCACCCCACTCAGCCCACTGACCACACCAACCCACACGGGCCCCACCCAGACTGCCTGCCCATGGCCTTGGCCTCCACATGCTGGAAAGTCACCATGCTGATCCCCTTCCCCTTGAAAATTCAGAGGAGAGGTGGGATAAAGGTGAGTTTAGTGAGCTTTCCTAGGAGGCTCTGGACCTTGGCTGTCACAGTTGCTGGGTCACAGGCAGGATGCCAGACCTCTGATCTCAACTCTTCCTGTGCCCGCAGAGGTGACGGTGCCCACCATGCTGGGGGGTGGGGTTAACTGGGGTGGAGGTGGGGGCTTAGGGGATGGGGAATGATAATGGGGAGGGGCAGCCTGAGTCCATCTGACTTGATTCTCTGGTACCAGGCATCTACAGAGGGCTGCTGGTCTGCACTGCCTGAGAGACAGAGACCAACTTTTGGGGGTCAGCAGAAGGAACTCCCCAGTGCCTCTGAATATACCTGAGATGTTTGGTTGGATTTTGAAGAGAGTACCCACCAAGAGGGTGGTAAAGATATCATGTCTAGCTATTGTCTGGATTCCTATAACTGCCAGTGAAAGGGGCCAGCCCCATCCCTCCCCTAGCCCACATCGGGGGAATCGCACCTGCCCAACCTCCTCCCTCCCTCAGATGACATCAGGGCCTGGAAGGAGCCTCTCTGCCCGAGTATACTCTGAAAGGCCCTTTTGGGGCTGTTCCCAAAACAGACAGGCTGGAGGCACTAGGAAACTCCCGGAGACCAGAAAGTTCCCTGAGAAGCCCCATCCTCACCCCCCAGAAGTCACACCCTCTAGAATATTCCAAAGAGTCCACACCCACCCCAGGACTTGCACCCTCCAGTTGTGCAGGCGCTTCCTGCCTCACCTCTCCCAAATCATCCATCATGAGAGTTGGGGGCTACATGAGTCAGGTTGGCCTTCTAGACCCCTCATAGTCACAAAGCTAGCAGTGTCCGCTTCCTGAGACAGGTCAGGAAGCTTTATGGATACTTGTAAAGAGACCTGAGCTTCTCCTCCATGCACAGAAAGCAGAAGGAGGCAACTGCTCACAGATCCTGACGTGGATGCCAGCAGCTTCACTCCAAATTAGCTCAGCGTTTTCTACCCCATAAGTAGCCCCAGGTCTTTGCCTTCTCCTGGTTTCTGTTCACCTCTGTTCACAGCTTTTCCTCAGGCCTGACTGAGTAAATGGTGTTATCAGTCCCACCAGTTCCAGGATACCTCGATCAGAAGCTGGTCAGCAGATCCTGGGGAAGCCCTGGGCAGAGCTACCCTCCCCTGTGAAGTCCAGCTAGGACATCCATCCAGAGGAATAGAAAAGCCCAGAAACTAAGGCCTGCTCAAAAACGGACTTTCAACCATAAGTTGCAAATGAGCAGCTATAGTTTGCTTGACCTGCAAATTATGTGAAAGCCTTCTAAATTTGAAGATAAAATCAGAAAGAAATCCTCATTTCTAGCTTACTTCTAGCTTATCTTAAAAATTAGAAATCAGGCCAGAAGGCTAAGATCGGGAGCACCAGCAGACATGGCTGGTTCTCGTGTGGTCCACGCAGCTTGCCACAGACTTTATCCAGCCCAGCAGGCTCACTGACTTGCGTGGCCTTGAGGGCACCTGGAGTTCAATCCATGCTATAAACACAACAAACTCACTCTTGCCAGTGCACCAATAAAAGATGACAGCCTTGTATCCCTTGAGGAATCCAAGTGCCCAGATCATTAGGGTGGACACCATAAGCTTCAGGCCCTCAAAGTGAATTTCCTTGGGGTAGTTGGCTTTCATATGTCCTTTACCATTCCCACAACTTTTCATGTGCCACTGAGTGTTTTGATATATATTTAGGTAACACCATTTCTATTTTATCTAGAATAGGGCAAACTATACATAGGTTGAATCCAGCCTACCTGCCAGTGGGTGGCTTTATAAATAAAGTTTTATTGGCACACAGCCACACTGTTCACTTACACAGTGTCTGTCTGCTTCCAAGGTAGGAGAGCAGAGCTGAGTGACTGCTGAGACACAGACCATGTGACTTACAGAACCTAAAATATCTGCCAGCTGTTCCTTCAGAGAAGAAGTATGCTAACCCCTGAGGTGTGCTGAGGGGGTAAAAACATTGACTTTCTTTGGTGTCCACATTCCAGATTCTTGTTTAAAATGCTTTCATGGAATATGAATGACTGCCCTGAGGATTTCCAATCTTATTTAGGGGATGAGGTAAGGAGAAGCAAGTCTAGGGAAGCCAGGAAAAGTAGGTGGTGAGGGTTCAGGACCCTTGTGTCATCCGTTTTGTTATGATAGGGAGAAGCCAAGAGTGGTTACCCATAGCTTACCCCAAATTACCTCTGGAAGGAAACACCACATTTTCCATCACAGAATGAGAACTGCACGCTGTCAGTTCCCACATAGGCCCTCTCCACACCTTGCATCCCAACCCAAGCAGCCTTCCCCACTTACTTCATGGGTTTGAACAGTGCTTGCCCGTAATTCTGGAACGTCATGATGAGCTTGAGCTGCGTGCCCCCCGACTTCATGGCTGCAGGGGGAAGGAAGGAGACACAGGGTCACTTGCTGCTCTTAGACCCCTCTTTCTGCTAGTGAATGAAGCCAGCTCCTCAGATCAGAGCCTGGGCAGTGCCTCTAATCCCATGGTCCCTCCTGGCCATTGGTGTGGCTGAAGGCCCCCATTCTCCCTGGGAAGTTAGGGGTTTCTTGAAATATCCTGAAACACACTGTCTCCTGGTATTCAAGTGTTGGGGCTAGAGGCAGAGTCTCTAGGACAGTCTGTTTGACAGACAAAGGACTGACTTCTCGAAGGATGACCAGATGTGTGAACCTGCCAGCAATGCCTGCCTCACAGACACATCTGTACACACTTAGACACCTTCACACACACACACCCCACTGCATGCCTAATCTAAGTTTCTAGGGTTCTTGAGAAAGATAAATCAGGGTAGCCAGAGGAGACGCTGAATACCCCTTGGTTGGAAGCACCTATCTCATCAGAGGGGACTTTCAGAGGCTCCACGTGGACATTGTGGGGGTGGATACCTCCAGAAGCATCCCTCTGGCTCCCCAGCTGACTCGCCAGCTCAGAGAGCAGAAGAATTTCTGAAAGGACCTGCTCTTTTCCTGACTGTGTCTTTCCCCTACACTGATGGAGCAGGAGGGAAAATATTTCAGAGATTCTCTTAGAGAGGGAGCGCCCCTGGGGTAGAGAGAGCTGTCCTAGTTTGCCATCTGCATGATGTGGGCCCTAGCCCACCTAAGACACAGAAGTAGGGTGCGGCAAAGCCATGGGGTTTTGTCCTGCATTTGCAGAAGCACTGCCCAGGCAATCACCTGCTAAAGACACAGGCATGAACAAGAGTCACGTGGGCAAGGCGTCCCCACTGGAGTCTGAGTTCAGGACGCGGCCAAGAGAGGTCACTGGATGTGAGGAACCCTCAGGAAGGTCTCTCTGGGGACAGTTAGGCTGTTCTGACAGAGGGCGCCAAATGTGCTGGAGGAGCCAGAGAAAACACAGACTCTGAAGCAGAGAAAAGGGCTCCTCTGCAGCACTGTAGGGGCTGGGAGGGGTCCTTGGAGCCCTGGGTTAGCACTGGGTCTCAGAGGGGTCCCTCAGGCAGGGAGGAATGGCTGGGACCCAGGTGGATATAGCCCCCACCTCGGAGGGAGCTTGGCTAGGGGGATAAAGCATTGGAAAGAGGCTGGGCAGCTGGTTTAGATGAGGACAGACTGGGGAATATAGAAAATAGAAACATCCAGAAGTATCTGGGGGAAAGATGTAGCCCTTTGATGGTAACAAAGAATTTTTAGCAACACAGCAAATTGCTTATGATTTTATTATTAAGAAGGCAGCTCATACAGCATTTACGCTCTCTGATCTGCTTTTTTTGACAGGACGTGGGAAATCTAGTACATACCTTCCCTCAGTGATTACCTCCCAGAAGCTGGTGATTTTAATTTCTTTTATCCGCCTCATCCGAGCTTTCTAAATTTCACAATCAACATTTATCACATTTTTAATAAGATGAAAACAGAAGTGATTATTAAAAAATTAGTGGCCAGACCAAGCCCCATTTGATGTCCCCATTCCATTTAATAATGGGGTCGCTGGATCTAATTATTCCTTCCTGGGCCAATGGGGGACAGCACAATAGCTCTTTCCAGAGCATGTAAGCTATTTTTTTTTAAATAACCTAACATTATGCAAATCTGGTCAGTCTAATCGTTCTTGTTCTGGAAGCAAGTCCCACTGGCATTGCTGTTTCACTGACCCTGTGTCCGCTGAATGACCAGCTCCCCGCGGAGCAAATAAATAATTAGAAGTTAATGGACATCAGACTGTCCCAGTGATAAGAACTCCAGAAACCAGGCTCTTGCTAATAATACCCAGCATGTCTCTCTTGCCTGGGCACGTGTGCTTTCCTGCCAAGGCACACCATTCACTTCCAGCTGGATGTGCTCTTGGAAGACATTTGGAGTTCTGCCCTAAAATCGGTATAGCCTCCCTGCAAAAGGCAATGGCAAAGGCTAAAGGTGTTCATCTGGGGTGAAAAAGAGGCAGACCCAGGAGCCTGCATCCTGCCGCTGAGGAAATCAGCATTGGGAGGTGGCTGGGACGAGAGAGGCCACCAGGCCAGCTCATACAAGGGGAGACAGGAGTCATAGGAGCAGAGAGCTCAGGTTTGCAGGAAAAGGTCCCACACGAGGACTGGGACACATGCTGGTCAGGTCTGCACATTTCTTAGAGGACAGAGGTCAGTTCAAATCCACCCACCCTCAGCCCTGGAGAGAGAGCCAGGTGAGCAGCAAGCCCACTGTGGCCACAAAGCCAGGCTGAGGCTGTGCTGTCCCAGCTCACACCTGACAGCTGCAGCCCACTCTCTCCCTGAATGGGCCCCGCCCCCCCCCCCCCCCCGCACCTGCCTCCTCCTTTTCATCTCCAAAACCCCACCCAATTCCAGGCCACCATCTTCACACACTGGGCACCACCAGATGCCCAGGTTTGCCCTCTCCATGCCCCACTGTCTGCACTATCCCCTTCCTGCCTTCTGCTCCCCCACCTATTGTCTTAGACCAAGGGTGTCAGCTGTCTTTCCCAGCCCCCCTGAAAAGCCCCTCCCCCCAGCTCTGCTCCAATACACATATTAATTAACATGACTGCAAAATGTTAATAGCATGCATCATTACTTATATACCTTAATATTCATTAGCAGAGCACTGTGAACTTATTTATATCAGGCTTGGCCTGTTAGCCCCAGGACCACTGAGACTTGGATGGAAGGGGCTTTGCTCACCATCCTTCCCCAGCACAGGGTATAGAATGAAGGCAATCTTATTACAGGGGTCTCCTTTCAGAAAAGCCCGGGCAGATGCTGACATTTCTCAGGAATTTCCCCAAGGAAGGATCGAGTTAAACCAGAAGCAAGAGCAGTCCTGGAGGAGAAAGACAGTCCTGAAGGAAGGTGAGCAGCTGGGCTGGGGCCCCAGCACCCCACACTGAAGGAGGGGTGGAGGGGCTCGGAGCAGGGGACATGGAACCCGTCTGCATTGACCTGCTTGCACCACACACTCCTGGTATGGTGGGTACAGCCAGCACTCAGCTGTTTATTCCCTGGGGCACCAGGGCTGGCGTCTCCAGCCTCCCTTTCCAATAAGAATCCTGATCCATATTTGATGGGACTTTTCAATGAACGAATTTCATTGTTTAGAGAAGTGTGAATACATCAACAAGTACAAATGTGAGGGGCTTCCAGGCCACAATGGGGCCTCTGACTTCACCACCCTGGCCTCAGTCATCTCATTTGTGAAGTGGGATTCACATCTGTCCTTAGGGTTGCAGCCAGGCAGACAGCCCCATTGTTTTTACAGCCACTGCTGTGATGATCAAGGTCCACTGATCAAGGGTCAGAGGAAGCAAGTGCCTCTCCCAAGGATAGTTCAAATGAGGAGAATGCAATACCAGAGCACTTAGGTCACCCCATCTGCCTCCCCCAGCCCTCATGGAGAGGTCTGACATTGTTCCAGATCCCTGGGAGCCCATGTGAAGCTCCTCATAGTGTCCTGAGGGACATCAAGGAACCAGAACCATGGTCATCTGCTCCGACATGAAGGGCTGCAAAAGGCTGAGGCAGGACTGATGCCTGTGCCCTGGGCCAGGGCCTTCCCACCTTGACTCGATGCAAAGCTTTTTGGAGGACTGGACCTCACAGGTGTGGCCACGTCAGCACTACCCAAATTTCAGTCCATCAAGCACCACCCTGGGCTGCCTGCGCCATAACTGCCTCTAGCCTGGACTGCTATTTACACTGTGCTTTTCTTTAAGACAGCTCACTCTTACTGTGAAAGTTCTATTTACTAACTGGAAACCACAACCCTGCAGGGGAGGATTAGGACACACCGGACACAGCCTGTGGATTCCCAGCTGCTCAAGGCCACAGCTGCTGTCTATTCAAAATGGAGAAAGCAGATCCTAGGGCGAAGCTGGGTCAACGTCTGCAAGACTATGTGCTTGATCTTCCATCAGATGCTGGAAAGCTCTTGGCCACAGCTCAGCTATGTACAGCCTTCTTGGATTGCCTCAATTGTCCTTTGGGGTGGTCTTTGTCATCCTTCCAGGATGATCTAAGGTCCCTCTAGGACTAAAGCTTTGGACATCCAGTTAATTCTTTCACTAGGTTGGCTATGCCAGGCCCTAGAGACTGAGCCCAGGGGACTAGAGGGGAAACCTGGCCTTTCTCAGGCAGAAACTGCCTTCCCAAGGAGCCTGCCTTCCACTAATTAGGCAGGACCGCTGAGTTAGCCCCAGGCACCCAGGGGCAGCTGCCTCACATGAATGATCCAGCCAGGGGCCCTTTGTTCCTCCAAGCCCACTGCCAATTAGTCCCAGATCCTGGCTAGATCAATTAGCACCAAGACTTTTGTCCAGGGAGTCGTTTTCCTTTGTTCAGGCACCAACCTCAGGCTTTTGTCCTGATCTGGAGAGAGCAACTGTGAAGTCTGTACTCAGGCCACAGGCTGCCCCAATCTCTCACACCGGTGTGACTTCTTCTTTTTAAGTAATTCCAAGTACAGAGTAGTTAATTTTGTCATTTATTCTTTGCATCCATAATTGTGCATGATAGGGATTTAATTATCACCAGCCCAAGCCAAGGGCGCCGCACACACGCCTGATTTCAAGCTGAACAGAGGTAGATAATATCCGAGTCTCTTTAAAGGCGGCAAACGGCAGGTTACCAAGCAGCCAGGAGCCAGGCTATAAATAAATCTCTGTTGGCCACAGCGGGTGTACTGTAGGCCACACACACGTGTCTCATGAATTGGATCAAGTGGTTCTGAACACGGGAGATTTAATGGAACCATTCTGAGAGAAAGCTTCAGGAAACTACAGGAAATGCTCTCTATTACAACAATATTTCTGGGCTCACATTTGATAGTGAGATGAACAACTTGAAGATTAAAGTGACCACCCAGGGGGCTGGACGGCTGATTAGAACAAAACCCTGAGCCAGAGTGAAGATGTGCCAACCCTGGGCGGCCCCCTCTCTTGAGGCCTCAGTGTCCCTCCTGTAGACTAACAGATGGAAAGTAGGATTGGATTTTGGACTCTGGCTGTTTCTATTTAGACTCTTATATAACACCACCATGGTCATTGCCATCTTCTCTTTCTTCCATTCATGCTCAGAAAGAAGGCAGTGCCGAGCTTTGAATCCTCAGGCCACTCCAGGCTCCTGGTTTCCTATGTGGGATCTTGGAAAGCTGCAGCCTGCTCTGGGTCACAGTTAGACTGGGGCAAGGGTATCAGGCAAACCGCTCTAGCTAGAGACCCCCATCTCCAAGCCCACCCCCTGGCTGTGCTAAGCTGGGACCCAGCCAGCTCTGCCATCTCAGCAAAGGAATTTTCAACCAAAATATCCAACTGGATGTGGAGACAGACACCTCCTGGAATGCACATATCCTCCCCGGAATGCCTGCAGCAGCCTGGGTTCCCTGCAGGCCAGGAGACAGGACTGGATGCCTAGAGCAGTGTTCCTCTCTTCTCTGCTCACAGGTGGATTTCCTGCTGCCCCAGAAGAGGGGCCTTTCATAAATGTGGACTCACTGTGAGTATTCAGGCCCAAAATAGCAGGGACAGTGGGGCCCAGGTACCCAGAGGCCCTTCACCAGCCTCCAGCAACCAGCACTGGCTGTCCTGGGCCAGGAGACTTTCACCTGCCCAGAAACACTGCCTCCTCAGAGTCCTAGCCAAGGATGCTGCCCAGCCTCTACTCCCTCTCTTCTCATAGGCATGCATAGAAGCCTCTCAACAACCCTGTGAAGTTGGTTTCACAGTCCCATGCTCCTTAAAATCTTAGGGAGCAGAAGTGTTTGGGGATCCTGACGACTTCTGAGGAGGGTGGATATGTGGTGTATAGGTACCACATATTATGTAGTGCCCTGAATCAGGGGTAGAACCCATAATTAAACACACTCCCTTGTCCTCAGAAGAACTGCAAGTGAGAAAAGTAAGGATTTATAAACAGCCTCCAAAATTTAGGTGTTGCCCCCATATATGTTCAGGTTGAATCAGATTTTGCTATTGCATGTGTTATTTTTGGACTTCAAGTTTGCAATGTATGTTCTTTATTCCATCTGTATAACCATCTGCATGTTCCATATCCTGTCCCAAGCACTAGTCAGTTGAGTCAGTTCCACAAATCACTTTGACTAGTGGAACAGGTCTCAACCTCGGTGGCCCTTCTGCCCCAGGAGATGGACCAACCTTCCAGCACCAACCAGACACCTGCAGAAGGACTGTGATCAGCCTCTCCTCTGAGGAGTGCTGCTCCAAAGAGCAGATGGCTGATGACCAGCAAGGCCAGAGCTGTCCAGGGGGTGAGTGAGACCTGCTCAGACAGCACAATGCACAGATGGCAGGCACTCAGCCCAGGTCACCACCAGGCACAGATCCAGCCAGAACTCTACAGAGAACTCTGTCCACTGCATCCTGAGCCAGGTGACCTGGACACCACCTCCTGGGAGAGTCAGGCAAAGGGGGTGGGGCACCCCAGGCCCTGGGGGAAGAGAAGGAGAGGACCCGGAGGTGTGCAGGGATGCCTAGGAACTTCAAACCCCAATCTCTCCCCGCAGTTATTCCTGATCCCTTCTCTGCACCGTATCCAGTGGGACTGGAGGCTACATGGGATTGGATGAACCTGATCAGCCTGTGGGCCCCTGCAGCCCCCACCCCCACCTCCATCCCAGACCCTGATCTGCACTGCAGGGGTATGGCTGTAGGAAGCCTACCGCACAAAGCACTAGTTAGAATTTTACAAGTTCGCCATCTTATCCTTCCACATTCACCATCTTACTCTATTCCTACAATGTTCCTGAGCAGGGATAGAGCTTGAGCTTGAGCCTATTTGACAGGTGGGAAAATTGAAGCCAGGAGAAGCACCCACAGACAGTAGCAGAGCAGGGTCTTGTAAAAGAATATTTCATTTCCCTAAAAGCCTTTCTAATTTTAAAATTCTATCCTCATTTTCTCAGGAAGCCCCGCCTTCCCTGCCCCCAGCTTCTTTGATGAAAGTCTATACATCATTTACGATCCAGGTCCAACAACATTTCCTAAAAGGTTCTCCATGCCCCTCCTCTCCAGATAGAGATCATCTCTCCAAACACTCCTGGACTTCGTCTACACTGCATTGAAAGCATTTATTTCTCATCATTTCCTATCCACCTGGAACAAAGGTCAGAGGCAGCAGAATCTCAACAAGATTAGACTCATCCTCAACTCCCCACAATCCAGAAAGGGGCCCTGAATGCAGAAGGGGATTAAGAAAATCTGCTGAATGGGTGAGCAAATTAGTTGATGCACTCACTGGGTGGTGTTGTTTTTTTTTTTAATAGCCTCATTTACTCTAAGGAGAAAAAGGGACGCCCAAGCTGTGGCTGTCTGCCAGACCTTCCCCCCATTCCCAGCACACTCAAAGACCCCTCAAGGGACAGTGGGGGGCTGAGCTTCTTACAGGGAGGGCTGGGGCTGAGGGCTGGGTGACACTCAGATTCCTTCCAGGCAGCAAACAAGGAGAGAAAGAACCCCAGCTTGTTCTGGCAAGTTCTCTGCCACCAGGTGGACAACAACATGTGGGGTGCGTTTCCACACACGGCAAGTGTTCGGTAAACACTTCAGCACTAGCAGAGAGTCAGAAATAGCCTCTAAAGAACTTTGGGAAACCCATTGTGCCCTCCCGGTTAACCTGTGTCAGACACTGGACAGAACCCCAGGACTAGAACTCTTTCAGCATCAAGGATGGTCAGGAGACACCCAAGAAGACAGTGCCTGGAACTGCCGCCTAAAGCACTCCTGTTCTCTGGCCCCCTCCACCTTCAGTGGCTGTGTGCGCCCAGCCAGCTCCCTGCAAAGCCCCAGGCTGCAGCCCCTCCCCCACTGCCTGCTTCTCTGAGCCACTGGTGACTAATGGGACCTTCACAAACAATCGCCTACAGGCCCAAGAACAATGGTACCAAATCTCTGCGCTCAGAAACTGCTGCTGACACATTTTCCTGAAATCAGTAATTGGGTGCCCTTTTTTTTGTCTAATTCAGCAGATCCCAAAGCACTCAGAGTTGTTGCCTCTGAACACTAAGTGCATGGCTTTCACCCTGGACAGAGCCAAGCCCCGGCCACTCCCTGTCCACAGGAGGCCTGGCTGGGCTCTGGAACAGAGCTAGTCCAAAACCACAGGAAGCCACAGCTCTCACTGTTTCCCTGCCAGGCTGGGGTTGCTTGGGTATGGCTGAGGAGGGGCTGCAGTCACCAGGAGTGCCCCTTTGCTCCCCTTGGGGATGCCCTGTGGTCCAGAAAGCACCCTCCTAAGGTCTTCCTTGGGCATCTTTCTGTCCAAAGCCTCAGGTTTAACGGCCTCTGGCATGATCACCTCAGGAGGTGATGCAAGGAGGGCTCACAGCAGCCTGACACACACACACCCCCACCATTACCCCCAGAGCACCTACCGACACTGGTTATCTTCTGAGCTCCGAGGTCCCTCAGCAGGGCGTGGATGGCGGGGTTATGTCTAGAGTATAGCTCATACCGGTTAATACCGATGTGGAATTTGAGCCAGTTGGGATAGGAGTCCACAGCTGCTTCCCCGGTGGGAAGGAATCCTTCATCTTCAGTACCATCATGTGGCCTATGGAAACAAGGTGACCCAGAGTCAACAGGATAGACCCAGTGGCAATGACCAGGCGGGGGCAGGGAGTGATATGTGTGTACGTGAGGAGGGGTGTTGGCAAGGAAGCCAACCAACGTTTTAACTCTGGAGTCAAACAAATGCAGATTTACTGAAAGCTGCCTTTGCTCAAACAGGACCTGCGATGCCTGCACTTTTTCAGTGGCTGTTGTTCTACAACTAATAACATATCTAAAGGCCCTTAATTCTTACTTTCACTCAGGAGACCCAGAGAAAACTATAACTAAAGAAAGACCAAACCCAGAGCTCAGCACTAGGCCCCCACCGCGTCTGTCCTGGGTCACCAAAACAGCCCGACAAGTGTGATGTCAGCGTGGGGTATGAGGGACTGGCGGCTTTTCCTGGGGCAGACAGGCGAACCCACCTTTGACCACAGACTGCAAATCCCAGACACGCCCAGTCTGTCAGAAACCTTGCCTGAGCTCTCTGCTTTTGTTCCAGCAACCAGGGGTAGAGATGATGCAAGAGGCTAAATTTGATTTTAATGAGAGCTGTGTTGGGTGGGGAGAGAGGAAAGAGAAAGGCACTCTTTCCAGCTGAAGTCCAAGTTGAGGACCCACCGCCCACGTGGCCTGAACTCACATCTTTAGCCACATGGCCTGAATCACATCTTTAGCTGGGGAGGACAGACCCTGCCTGCCTGCTGGGCTGGAGGGAAAAGTAGCACATGACTTAGCTCTAATTCCCCTGCAAGTGAGGTCTTTTTGACCCAAGTTGTTTTATAAAGAAGGGTGGGCAAAAGGAGCCACCCAGGGCCACCGTTGACCACCGACTGTGGGCTGTCTCTCCTATGAAGCATCTCAGGCCCGAGACACTGCTCTAATTCTCAAGTTTCTGAGCATTTCCTTTAACCTGGCCAGCAGACAAAGCTCAGAGGCCACCAAACACCTTGGTGTGTTTGGACAGAAAACACTGGCCTGGTCAAATTTCAGGGGAGAAAGGATTTTTATAAGATGTTTTTTGGAAACCTGGTCTTTCCCTGCTGTTGCTTGGGTAACCTTTTGCAGGTAGTTATTTATTCTGGCCTTGCTGCTAGTTAATATTTCACTGCCCTGGCTTGCAGCATCTGCTTATCTTGATGTATGCCTGAGGAGGGCCTGGGGAGAGAGAGGGTGTTAACCCAGGAGAGTTTATAGAGATGCTCCTGGGAGATGCTTCTCGCCTTTATGAAACTGTCATCCTTTACAGCCAGCACTGTTCCCAGGCTGGCCACTCTCTGTACCCTAGCTGGGAACGCTCCTTTGTTATGCCTCACTCGGCCAGCACACCCCTCTGCTAATTTTGTTCTCAGTGAATGATTTACAAGTCTCATTAGGTGTCTCCAGACCCTCCTGACAAGTCGACCAGAGCAACATCACCAAGGTATCTCAAAGCCAGCAGCCAGCAGCTGTCCAGGGAAGGTTAGGGGTTGGCTCATTTACCCACTCACAACTCCGTCATTCATTGCCTGACTCCACTCCCAATGACCAGAGCTTTGGGGGTCACCACTGCCTTCTTGTACATGCAGCACCGGCTCTCCCCCAGCAGGGCTGTGCATCTACCCTCAGACCAGCTGCCACAGAGAACAGCCCCCAAACCACCCAGGAGCCCTTCTCAGGGATGCAGTCTGGTGAGACAAAGTGCCCCGAGGAAGAGGTGGCACCCACCCCACAAAGTTGCCTTCCCAGCCTCTTCCAGGGTGTCCCTGAGCCTGTGCCTCTACACAACGCCTTGTATGCTCAAGGGCTTTTTCAGGGAAATCAGCGCTGAGGTTGATCTTTATTCTGAAAGGGTGCACGGTTGCCTTAGGGGTTCAGTGCCCTCCAGCCCCACTCACCAGTCTGGATTCTCCCCTGCAGCCTTGGGGTTGAACCTGATATCACTGTTCACATTGAACAGGACGTCGTCCTCAGTTATCTGTGGAATAGGCAGCTGGTAGAGTGGGTGTTCGAACAATCTGGCCAGGAGGGAACTGTCCCCACTAGAGCCAGGGGGCAGCACGGAACGGCGGGGACCAGGATCTCTGAGCAGCGGCCGGTGCACCAAGTCTGGGGGTCGGGGAGTGACAGGATCCTGCCCCCGCAAGGCGCCTTCGGCCGGTTCCGCCGCTGGCGGCAATTTCTCCAGAGAGTGGGACGTGAGGTTGGAGGACGGGTCAGAGCTGAAGTCCTGCAGGATGCGCAGCGTGTGTTTGTTGGGCCAGCCCGCATCGCCCGTGGCGGAAGCTGCGGCCGGAGGCTCCCCGGGGCGGCCCCTAGCCTTGGCCCAACCTGGTGCCACCGCTTCGGCAGCTGGCTGCGCGCAGGAGCAGCCTGGCTCCCCGGAGGGCCGCGCGGTGCGCCTCTCCAGCTTGGGCAGCAGGTCCAGCACGATGTGCAGCGCGCAGGCCACGAGGAACACCATCAGGATGAGCACACGGAACCTCCTCACCAGGATCATCTTCATGGCGAGCGCGGCCTGGGACTCCGGTGTCCTCCCGGGGTGCGCCCCGTCCGTGCCCCTCTAGTCTCGGCTTGGCACAAACGCGGTGCCGCGGCACAGGTCAAGGTCCATCTGGCTTCAGAAAGCTACCAGCTCCGGAGCTGTACCAGGGTCCAGCCCGCGTGTAGGGCGCCCACCGCCAAAGAGCCCGCTGTCTGGGCCATCTCGGAGCCACTCCCTCTCGGCCTCTCCGGAGCGGCCGCGCCCTCAGCCGCTAGCCCAGCGGTCCTCGTCCGCGGAGCTGGGGGCGCCGGGAGCAGCGAGCCAGGTGGTTGGGAGCGCAACCGGATGAAGCCCGGCGCGCGCAGCTGCCTGCTCGGGTCTCCCGGGCCGCGGCCGAGATCAGCCGGCACACAGGGCCCCTACGCTGCGGCCCATCTCAGCCAGGGCGCGGCGGCCGGGGAGTGGAGGTGGCGACGGCGCAGCGCAATCCGATCCGCCGCGCAGTACCCTCCGCGGCTCCGTGGGCCGCGGTAGGCGCCTAGCCCGCCAGGCAGAGAAGGGGCGGCTCCTTCGGGCAAGGCTTGGTGGCACTCACACTGCAGCTGGGAGGCGGGGACCTGGAGGGGGATTGGGGGCGCGGGGCCGTGGGGATCGAGGGGCCGGGGTGGGGGGGGGGCACGCACGGAGCAGCAGGCGAGGTCTCCAGGCAGGTGCAGCGGCCGGGTACGGAGCTCAGCACCCTCACGGCCGAGGCTTTCGGCACCCCGCGCCCCGGGCGGGGAGATATCCGAGCGCCGCGGAGCCGCCCCCCGCGTCAGCGCCTGCAGATTGGTGGAGCTGCAGCCCCGCGAGTCACCGCCGGGTCCCGGCCGACTCCGCTCGCTCTCTGCTTTCTCCTCCCCTCGGCCGCGCCCCGCGATGCCTCTGCAGCTCCCGGCCGCTAAGGAGAGGGCGCCTTCTTCCCGTGGCTTGCCGAGAGACCATGGAGAGGCCCGAGAAAGAAAGGTGCGAGGGTGCGGGTCCGGCGCGCCGGGTTCCAGCATTCGGAAGAGGAGCGCGGTGCCGCTGCGGGGGAACAGTGAGATGGACTCTGCGGTCAGGCCGCTGCGCCAGGACCTCCACCCGCCCGCCCTGGGCCGGCCGCCGCCAGCTGCGGTCTCTCGGCTCCTCCCCAGATGAGTGAGGGCCAGAACCCAGGCCAAGTCCCTCCCCGGAGCTGCTGGGCGTCTGCGCCGCCGGATGAGCTCCCCGCCGGGCGACGACCTTGCGCCCCGCGCCCCCGCCTGGGGCGGCCCCAGCGCGTCCCGAAGTGGGCGAGGGAAGGAGAAGAGGTGGTAGTGGTGGGGCACTCAGGGAAGAAGACTAGAGGAGCGCGCGTTTGACCCAAATCCGGAGGGACGCCGGAACAGCGGCGAGGGGGCCGTGCCTGGTTGGGGCACCATCCCAATCCAAGGGGACCACGCCTGCGCCTTAACCCTGGTGGCGCTGCCTCCTGCAGCTAAGATTCGCTTGGCACCGAGAGGTACCGGGTAAAGAGCAGTTGGCGGCTCCCTAGATTTGGGCGGGCAGTGCGCGCACCCGCTGCATTGGCCCAGCCACATGCGCAAAATCGGCCACCCACATCCAGGGAGAGAATTCTATCACTGGGCTCTTCTGAGCCCACACAGCTTCTGGACTCTCGGTGCCCCATAGGGAGTGTTAATGTGAATGTGAGCCTAAAACCATACTTAGGAAGGATAGTGAACCTAGCCAAGGGACAGGGTCACAAACATCCCTTTGAGCAGGCAAGATTCTCTGCGCCCCCTCAAGGCGCTGTACATTCCTCCCAGCTAGATGAAGAATCCCTCCTGCCTGCCTTTGCAGGACTGAGAGGGCGGGCGGGCTCGGGTGAGCAGCAGAGATGGAGACCCTCCTTCCCCATTCACCCTGTCACTCTGCCCATGGACCAGCCTGCAGTGTCCCCTAGACTCGCCCCTGACACAGAGGCTGACACGCAATAGGCACCTCCAAGACACTTGTTGAGTGAAGGAGGGGACCCCAGCAGCTGGTCAGTGAAAGAGGTATTTCTGAAACTGTTTGAAATGAGTAAAGTGGCACTTATTGTGTTGGAGTGGGGGGGCCTGCGAGTGTAGACAGATTTGACCTGGGCTGGAGCTCCTCTCCCTCTCCCTTCTTTTCCTTCCTCACTCCACCAGCCCCTCACCCACTCCTCCCGCCTGACTTCCTCCATTCATTCTCCATCCTCTCCCTTCCCCACCTCTCCCTTTTACATTGACAGCCCCATTTATGAGCAGAAGAGGTAACTCTGGAAAGGGTTACCCAGAGAGATCAAGGAGATGATTGCATTGAGATGAGGGTGAAAGGAAACCCACCCACCCCACCCCACCCCCAATCTGGCTGAATGGCACAAAGGAGAATAGGTCTATGGTCACCCAACCCAGCAAGTGTCTCTCTCGGCCTTGAGGTTCTGTGAAGCCCCCTCCCTTGGCCTATGGGTCCTACACAGCAGAGCTGTGGGCAGAATTGTCAGGGTGGACATGGGGTGGGCAGACCCCATGAATCACAGGCATCATGAGTGGGGGTATCACTGGGACTCCTTGTGTGATTATTTTCACCCCACCCCCAAGACTGGCTTCTCTTGGGACAGAGATGTTGACCTTTTCAACTCACTGATGAATGAATGGATCACTTTCCTGGTTCCTAATTTGTCTCAACTATCACCTCCTTAGAAATGTCTCACCAACCAGACCATTTTGAAATGTCCACCACCACCACTCCGTTTTCCTAGAAACATGCACTACTTCTGAAAAGCCCATCTTCTACTCTCAAATGTGGTTTGTCTCCCTCAATGGTCATGCTCCACTGCATGGAGCTCAGATGTGGCTTATTTGTGGGTCTGTCCTTGGAGTCTACAGATCTGGACTGCAGAGAAGGGGTCACAAGTCAACATCCAACTTGGGGCAGGTGTCAAGAAGCTAGGGTGACACATATGAAAGAAGACTTTGAAAACAGAGCATAGGAAGAGAGTATAGAAAGCCCTTGACCTGATATTTCTGCCTGGTTCCTTTGTCCTTTGCTCCAAGGACTAATTAGATTTTGTTTAATAAATTCATCTGTGAAAATCACAAAGAGCAAACTTACACACACACACACACACACACACAGAGAGACATAACAGACAGACAGACACACATACACGCAGAGACACACAATGCATGTATACATATACAGATGAGACAGACATACACAGTCACACAGGAATGGAGCCTGAAGTTCCCTTAAGCCTCTGCCTTTTTGTCCCTGGGCCAAAGTCGGGTGGGCCAGGCTGGAAATTCAGGAAAGAGTGCCCCATTTTAGATTAACTCTGGCCCCACTGGAGATCAAGGAATGCTTCTGGGAGTTTTTTCCTCCCAAAGGCTAGAGTTTCAATGAGCCAACACAAATTATGGCAGGTGGTGAGTGGAATTCTGAATAAAAATAGGGTTGGTACAGCATTTGTCTGACTATTATATAAGTGGTCAGAGAAACTCTTGAGAAGTTGGAATGGGAGAGGTATACCTTGCCTGGACCTGAGATGGGTGGATGAAGGCAGAAGTAAGGAGACCAGTTACGGTGACCTGGATTGGTAGGGGCAGGCTCCCCCATATCTCAGGCTCAGATACCTGATGAACCTAGGGTAAGGGGTCAACCTTGGGATGGGAAGGAAGGAGGGCTGGGGTTCAGCTAGAGCCGGGGGCTATGTGAACAAGCAAATTAAGTGCAAGGAAATTGGGATCTGATTTTGGATTGTGCATTGTCTGTGTGCCTAGAGCCATGGCAGGGTTGGTGGAGATGGGGTGTCAGGGCCAGGAGAGAATGGGTAGGAGACTGAGAACTGGCCTGGGACCTCCAGCAAGGAGAGGCATGTGGGGGACACCAGGTGGGGGGGCTTACTGGACAGTCTTGGTGTAGTTGGGATGAAAACCAGCAGAAGACTCTTAGGAGAAGTGGAGAGTGATGGAGACCAAGTGGAGAGTGATCTTTAAAGGGGCTTTGTGTGAAAGGGAGTAGAGAAACGGGATGATGTGGGTACAAGGCAGGACTGACCGACCTCCTATTCCTGAACCAGATAGGGCACCTGGACACTGAGAAGGCTCACGGGAGGACTAGCTCCCTTCTCCACCTCACCCTTGGACACTCAGCCCTACCTGCAGGTGTAAGGGGGAGAAGGGTCAGTCATTGGAGGATCCCAATGAAGTGGCAGGGGTAGGAGCTTCCTAGGCAAAGCAGAGCAGCCTGCTCATGAGAAATGGTGTCTTGGGGTCCTTCACGGTAGATCCTGGGAATAGGAGGGACAAGACAGCTCCTGCCTCTGATAGGTTCCTAGCAGCTGTGAACCCTGTCCTGGGTTCTCTGAGTCCTGTCAAAGCTGCAACCTTGAAGACGGACATAAGCCTCTTCCTGTCTCTGTGGGGTGAGAAGCGACTAGCCAGCCTGGCTGCTAAGCCACCCTTCCTCTCATTAAGCAAAAAGGGGCCCTATTAAGTAAAGAAAAAATCTGGACCAAGGAGTGCAGCATGCACCTGGCATGCTACCTGTGTGTGAGAAAGGGAAAGAAACTGCACATCCATGGACACTGCATGAGAGACATGGCAACCGCACTGAGGAACAAACACCCAGCCCACACCACAGCACAAGCCACAGGGCCTGGGGAGTAGAAGCTGGGCAGGAAGAACTGACTGAAGAGGACAGGCCATCCTAGGAACTGTGTAGGAACTGTGGCTCATGTCTGGCTGAGCCCTCGCCAAGCAAAGGATCACAGGTTTTCCTGCCCTGTTGTGAACAAGGCAGTCCCAGAGTGACCCACTCACGGCTCAGGTCCTGTGATGTTTAGCTAAGAATTATTCATCCAAGACCCACATGGAGGCTCAGGGCTGTTTACCACAGGCCAACCTCAGCCGCGGGCTATTCTGGGAGCTGGAGGTGGGGACAGTCTGGTAGGGGAGGGGTTGGCTCTGGACAGCAGGCAGAAGCAGACCATAGTCTTCATCGAGCATCCAACTGTACATTGGTATTATGGGGCACATAGTCTTAATCCCTGTCTGGAGAGCCAGAGAGAATGGAAGATCCCACCTGCCTGGGGCTTGGCTAGCAAGGGACTGACAGGGTAACAGGCCAGGAGGGGAGAACCATGGTAGGAGAGACGCCTCCTTAAGAGAAGAGACACTAAGACCAGCATCCTCTGTGTGGAGTTGAGGGGCTAGAGAGCTGCTGTGTGGGGAAGCTTTCCATGAGTGAAGATGGCCTATCCCTACAACAACCATCACCAGCCTACTGACCTC